GTAAAGTATTTTAAATATTTTCAAGTACTTGAAAACGTTTTTAGATTTGCTGGTCGTTTCAGATTCTTTATTCTAATGTTCAGCTATTTTTTATTATGTGTTGTATGAGAAAAAAAATTGTGGAGTTATAATATTATTTTTATACTAATTACGCGCCATATTCCATATTTGTTTAAATAATATTATTTTTTTCTTATTGTAACGGATTTTTCACTTATAAGCTGTATACCATAATATAATAGGAATAAAAAATAAAGGTATAAAATAAATCTTTCACTATGTGTCACTAACGGGTGGCTCGTGTAACTCAAATTTATGTTTTTGCCGTTTATCGCATACTTTTATTGTACATAATACATCCAATTATATCTATACACTATTTAGTCTCTATAAAGTATAAAATATTCGTTGTTTATAGTAAACCATTCCTGGGCAGAAAAAATTGTATAGTTGCTGTAATAAAAAAAGCATCATGCATTAAAAATACTCTGAATTAATTTTGTATTTTATATTTTGAAATAGCTACAATAATTAGTACGTAATTAAATATTCAACAAGACGTGTATGATAATCATTATAATAATAATACCGGCATACATATTATGTCGTTTTGATCTCCTAAGGTAAATAATTAATAATTAATATTATATATTATTCTCGGTAGATCTGCATTATCAAACATGAAGTATGACCACCCTCGCTGCTATAATATTATAAAATATCTACTATAATATATGTGCCACGTCTATGTAACTCGTCGTCATAACCTATATTGGGATCTAATGGTCGTTATTAATAAATCATAACTTGTACGTTATACGTTCACTCGTGTGCCACCGACACAGATAATCAATTATTGTTCTATTATATTATTACCTAAGTGGCCATACATACGTATTATACTTATGAAACACGATTGTACTAAAATTACACAATTAATGGGTGCGACTTGTGTTATCACGTTTCAGACCCACCTGTCGGACAACCCGTGCTGTCGCTGGAGAAACGACACTACACCATCGGAGACACATTGAAAGGGAACTGCACGTCACCACCGTCCAGTCCACCGTCCAATGTCACGTGGTACTTAAACGATAAATGGGTACGTAAACCAAACCAGACCTACCTAAGTCGGTGTTGGGAAAAAAAATTGTTTATTAGGTACATTAAAGTTTTTAAAACCGATATAATATTTTCAATAAATATGTATGCCCACACACGGAAAAAAATATTCAGATGGTATTCAACAAAACTGTTATGTAAATCAATGTATTGTAGCTACAACATAAATTATTTCATTGCAACTTTTATTTATGTCGTTCTTATTTAAGCATTCTGTTGAATTTACAATAATAATTTTGTTGAATTGTTCTATTATAAAGTAACTGAATTAATGTTTCTATGACCAAATAGATTGTAAACTCTACTCAAAACAAAAGGCATCAGGTACAAATCGTAATTGAGTAGCATTAACTATTTATTTGGTTATATTTACCGAACATAATGTAAGTTCTACCATACTCTACGTAGGTGGTAACATTTGTTAGGTTGTAACTATTTATGTTTTGATTGGAAATACCCAACACTCTGCTATCGGTACAATTGTTTTTGTTAGATAAACGCGCGCGTTTCCACTGTTTCCAGTGAGTGGTGTGTGTGTGTTTGTGTGACTGCCATTTTTGCGATCACGAGTTTTCACTTTTGTCTTTTACGTTGTACTTTTACATGTGTCTTCATCTATTTGTTTACTCACAGGTAAGTCTTAATAATACATTTTTCTGTTCATTATATTATATTATACCTACTTTTTGTTACATACATTTCACAAAGTAGGTACCTATTTATTATAAGTTGCTAGTTAGTTATAATGGCGGATTCAGATGTCGTCGACATGCTTACAGCTTGGGGTTTGACTAATTACATTGACGTTTTCAAAGGTAAATTAAAATAGTGCACACTTATAATATTGTCAGATATATATTTGCATGGCTTATTACTACTGCTTATTTTCTATTAGAACAAGATATCGACGTATCTTCTTTGTCGTTATTGACAGAAGATATGATTAAAGAAATTATTCCAATGGTAGGACATAGAGCTAAATTTAAAGGCAATCTCGAAGAATGGAAAAAAGCATTAACTGTAACAAATGAGGTGACAATATTGGTAAGAAAAAATTTAATTGGGCCAATGTATTAAATTTTCTTATTCTCATTCAAAAGTACATAATATAACAAATTTGTACTGAGCATCACACAGTGAGATTTGGAAAACTTATATATCTCAGCTATAGTTATGATCTTGAGTTGTTATATACACTTACTAATCAAATAAAACTAAAGATTTCATTATAGTATTTTGTATGATTTATTTTTCTTAGGATATTTCAAATCTAACTGGTCTTACAGCAAGTGAAACTTTGTCTCCATCTTCTTCTGGTACATTTTCAACATTATTTGATTCAAATTTTTCAAATGTTTTAACCTCCAGAAGTGTTGAAGAATCAAAATCTGAGTCGAGTAAAACTGATAGTTTGGATGTAAACAATGAAGCCCTAGTTTGTTTATCGTCAAATATAGATAAGGTATTCAATTTATATTCAATTCATTATTGTTAGAGATAATTTATGAAATTATTTTGAAACCTAGAATCTGTATACCTATTCTGAACTTACTACCTATTAGCTAGTTCATCAAATTAATATACAATGCTAGGCCTTAATGGGTTAAAAATTAAGTTAAGTAGGTAGGTATCTAACTTTTTACTTTTTTTTTTAAACTAGCTTAACTTTTAATTTTTTTTTAAGTTTCACTTCTATTCCTGCCCTCTCTTACTAGCAAATTATAATCCTAGCCTAAAATCCTAACCTTAATTGCCTCCAATGGGCGGCTTCTTATCTCTAGCCACTCAAGCCATATCACCTCCATCACATGCACTTATTGTAAAACAACATTTACAGATTGTGTATATTTAAATAAACGATAAAAAAAAAAAAGTTTCACTTCTAACATAAATTCTAGATTTAATACATATTTATTACTGATTTGAAAATTATAAAACTTTAATTAAATTATTTTTAACTTAGGTACCCAGCCTTGTTAATATACTTATTATTTGCTTGCTCTAACTTTTATGATATACAATTTTTGAGTTATAAGTTATAACATTAATTTGACCAAATAGCTTAATTAATAATATAATCTTTTTCTAGAATTCGGGATTAAAGATCTATCTACAGAGTATCACAGAAGGAAGAGTCTTATTGGCTACGTATAAGGACTCTGGATTACTAGATAACACTGGAAGAAGAAAACTGTGTAATATAATAGTTCGTAAGGAGCTTCAAGAGAACCCTGAAATAAATATTAATTCACAGAAGTTGTTGTCATTATCTGAGGAAATAACTCAAATTTTTCCTAAGGAACATATCAGTACTTATTTCATACCTTACATGAATTATGGTGAATAACATCTTGGTGATTGAAATCAGACTTTTGGTATTTAATAGTTTTATTAATTTTTAATTATAGGGGCAAATATTAAAAAGGCTGCTAAGGGTAAACTTTTAGACTGTTTCAATAATCGAAAAAGAGAATACAAAAAAGCAGGAATCATTACTTCTACACCAAGACATTCTCCTTCAATCGAATGTAACTTAGACGCATTGTTATCCTCAAGCCAAGAAAATGATACAGAAATTGGTATAACTAACATATTTAAATTTAACTTTCTATTTAGATCTATATTTAAATTTTGGATTGACATTTTTTTTATATATTATTTGTAATAATTAATAGTTGTACTAAAAATAATTTTTTAGTTGATGATCAATTAATTTGGCTTCACAATTCGTCTGACCCTTGGGATACGGTTGAAAAATATTGGGCTATTACTAGACAAAACCGCTTAAGAAGTGTATTGGACCCAAATTCAAAAGATTTGTTATCAATTTCTAATTACATGAAAAAGTTCCCAGCTCTTAAAAAACCTGCTGGTTATAATCTTGTAAGTTAAATTATAACTTATATTGCATAATTTACTTGGTTAGGTATACACAATTTTGATTAATAATTTTTTTTTTTCCAGTTAATTCAAGATTTTAATTTCTTATATCCTAACAAGCAAAACAATCTTGTAGAAAACTTTCCGTTGCATAAAAGTAAAATACTTGAACTTGGAAGAGTCCAGTCTAATAATTTGAAAGATAAATCTTTGAAGAGTATTATAGATGAATACTTAAACTTAACACCAGGTATGATTAAACTGAGATTTTTTAAGTAGGTACAAATGTTAAGTCATCTTTGTTTGATTATTATTCCAGAAAATGATGAAGCATCATCTTTGGCTGCATTTTTGATATTGTCTTTCTTATTTTCTCCAATTACAACAAAAAGGAAGAGAGGAAAAACTGCTTGGAGGCCTTCCAAGATTGAAATGAAAGATGGATTCATCACACACATAAAGTCCCATACCGAACTCCAAGATACAGTGACTAGGAGAAAAGAAAAATATGCTCAATTAGGAACTACTCTACAGCCTCTCATAATTATTGTTGGACCAAATTGCAACAACATTTCACAGTATTTTGTTCTGGTAGATGACACATTTTATGTTTTAAATTCTATTTTATCTTCAGTAGATTGTTGTTTCAAAATAATACATGCATTAAATCTGCAGTATCCTGTCGAAAGTTTACCAATCTGGTCATTTATTCAAAAAGGTTTTTATAAAATTAAAACTCCTTGGGACACAGAGTATGTGTGCGTAAATTCCTTGCTAAGTGATTTGGGAATTTAAACATTTATCAAGTGATAATTTTCTTAAAAGTTAGTTTATTTTTTATTTTCATATTTTATTGTATACATAAGGTTTATGTATTTTTATTTATAACAATTTAAAATCAATTAAAGTTAAAAAGTTATTAACATACTTTGACCTTAATTATTTGATAGATTATTTTTAATTTTATTTAGTACCTATATACTTAATTTAATTTTAACATGCCTACTTGTTTTGTTTGTAAACAATGTCTTTTGAGTATACCATTATTATGTAAGCATTTTACAATATGTCATCCAGACTATGATTTTCTTGAATATACTTGTTCTGAAAATGACTGCAATAGAACTTTTCACCTTATTAATTCCTTTAAAAAACATCTAGCCACTCATAAAGATTATAACCCGTGTTCAAAAGTGAAATCACCAAGAGTTACTTCTGGTGATAATTGTAGTTCTTCAGTTAACAACAACTGTAGCTCTAGTACACTTAATGTATGTATTAATAATGGTATAGAAACATCCTACACACCTTTTGAAAAAGACCCTAGTGCCAATAATTGTTCTATACAAGAAGATTATGTTAGTTCATTTTTATCAAAATTATATGCAAATCCTCTGGTTCCAAGAAATGTTGTTCAAACCATTGTAGATGATATGTCACTAATTTTTGATGGTTTAGATCATACTTTAAGAAGTAGTGTATCTAAATTACTTATGGATGGTAATATTTCAAATGAATGTTTTGATCATTTTAACTCAATTTTAGAAGTTGTAAAACATCCGTTTAATGATTTAAATACAGAATACAAACGGTTTAAATACTATACTAAACTTGGTACTTACATTCCACCTCAAGAGTATGTTGTTGGAGAACAATTAAATGAAAACAGACAAAATAATAATTTTGCTTTGGTTCCAGTTAATTGCACCCAGCAATTTATCCCAATAAGACACGTATTTTATAATTTTTTTAAAATGAAAAATGTTTTATCTGAAACTTTACTTTATTTAAATAAATGTAAACTTTACAACTCAGCTTTAATGAACTTTACACAGGGAAGTGTTTGGCGCAAAAAACAAAAAGACCACAAATCCCAAATAGTATTGCCAATTTTTCTCTTTTTTGATGACTATGAAGTTGGAAACCCTTTAGGTAGTCATTCTGGAATCCATAAACTTGGTGCTGTGTATGTTTCTATCCCATGTTTACCACCTCATCGCCAATCTTCTTTAAATACTATTTTTTTAACATTATTGTTTCATTCGTCAGACCGGCAGAAATTTGGCAATAATATTATTTTTAAACCTGTCATTGATGAGTTGAATTTCTTAAGAGAGACTGGAATTGATATTGATACTGATGATTTCAATGGAAATATTAAGTTTGAGTTGGGCCTCATAATAGGGGATAATTTAGGAATCCATAGCATAACTGGGTTTGTTGAGAGTTTCTCAGCAACCCATGTATGTCGTATGTGTAAGATAGAGAAAAAAGAAATGAAAAAGCAGTGTTATGCTGATGAAAATCTATTAAGAAATTTAGAACAGTATCACCTTGATGTTATTGAAGGTAATGTTTCTGATAGTGGTGTGAAAGAAGCTTGTGTATGGCATGATGTCTTAGGTTTCAGTGTGTTAGATCAAGTAGGCGTAGATATTATGCATGACTTATTGGAAGGGGTCTGTAAATATGACTTATCATTTTTATTACTATACTATATACAAGATTTAAAACTTTTTTCCTTACAAGTTTTAAATGAAAGATTGCTATGTTTTGATTATGGCCCTGATAAGGGCAGTAAACCTTGCATTTTGCATATTGAACATCTAAAAAAAAATACTATAAGACTTTCTGCATCAGAAATGATGTCGCTTACACGATATTTAGGTTTAATTATTGGAGATTTTGTTCCTAGAGATGAAACAGTATGGGAACTTTATATTTTATTGAGGAAAATTCTTGACTTACTCACATCTCCTTTGTTACAAAAAGAATGTTGTGTATTATTACAAACCCTTGTTGCTGAACATCATGATTTATACATTAAATTTAGCAAGTTTGAATTAAAACCAAAGTATCATTATATGGTACATTACCATACAATGATGGAAAAATTTGGTCCATTAATTTCCCTATGGTCTATGCGTTTTGAAGCGAAACATAGAATTTCTAAAATTTCAGCAAATACTTCTAGCAATCGCCGTAATATATGTAAAACCCTTGCTATAAAACACCAATTACAGTTAAATAACATATTTATTAAAGGAACTTTAAGCGATGAAATAAAATTAGGTCCTTGTACTGAAATTACTGATGACATTGATAGACAGGCTATTAGAAATTTTATTCAAAAAAATTCACTTGATTCAATAATAAATTGCCCATGGATATCAGTTAAAGGTACACGATACACTCCTAAAATGATTCTTACTTTAGATATATGTGAATTAGATGGTCCACATTTTTGTTGTTAATTGTTATCACTTTTGTTATCACCTTTCTGTTGTAATCTTGTTGTGTACACTTAACCTAAATGTGTGAATACTATAACGTTTTTTTTTTTGTTCTGTCATTATAAAACCTCGTTATGTCTTGAACTTAAAAGCGGAGCTGTTATTCTTTTTGTCCTTTTACATTAAACAACAGGTTATGGGCCCAGACATGGCTAAAAGAACTGATGACAAGTATGGGATAACTCAATTTGCTGGAACTAATTTTCCAAACTGGAAATTTAGAGTAGAAATACTTCTCGAAGAATTTGGAGTAAGAGCCTGCCTTACAGGTAATGAGCCTAGTTCAACTCAAAAGGTAGAGCTGGAAAAGTGGCAAAAGGATGACAAGAAATGTAAGTCCCTAATTGTTCAATGTGTTGCTGACAGTCATTTAGAGTATGTAATGGGCAAAGAAACTGCGAAGGAAATCTGGAATTCGTTAGTTCAGACGTTTGAACGTAAGGGTGTTGCGAGTCAACTGTATCTAAGACGGCGGTTACTTACACTAAAACTTGAAAATGACACTAATCTTGAAGCTCATTTTATAAAATTTGATGAACTTATAAGACAGTTGAAGTCAGCTGGGGCAAAACTGGAAAAAGAAGATATAGTATGTCATCTTCTGTTGACGATGCCGGAAACATATAACAATGTTGTGACAGCAATAGAAACACTTTCAATTGAGAAATTAACAATTGAATTTGTTAAAGGAAGATTGCTGGATGAAGAAGCGAAGAAAACAAATACTACAGATATACCTCAACAGAGAAGTACAGCTTTTGGAACTACAAGTAATAGTAGTTTTCCATTTAAATGCTATGGATGTGATAAAGTTGGTCATCGGGTATCAGAATGTAAATTTAAAAAAAAGTTTGGTAGAGACAAAAATAAGAAATCTTGGAAAAAGTCAACAGCAAATAATGTAGTCAGCAAAAGTGAAGATGCGGTTTGTTTTTCAATTGGAAAAGATATGGAACCTACCGAGAAGGCAAGTGAAATTTTTTGGTTCATTGATTCCGGTTGTTCAGATCACTTGGTGAATCAAGAAAAATATTTCTCCTTTATAAAGCAAATGGAAACTCCTCTGAACATCGGAGTTGCCAAAAATGGGGAAAGTTTAATTGCGACTAAGACAGGTACAATAATTTCTTATAGTAGAGTTGATGGTGAAGAAATTCTGTGTAAGTTTGAAAACGTATACTACGTACCTAATCTAAGGTACAACTTATTATCAGTTGGTAAGATCGAACAGTTGAACTTTAAAGTTGTGTTTGAAAATGGTCTTGCAACAATCACTCAACCTAGTGGAAATGTAGTTGCTGTTGCACGCAGAATGAGAACTCTGTATGGCATAACTTTCTCTCTAAAACCAAATACTTGTGCAAATAACTGTATTGATACACAAATTGATGAGAGTTTGTGGCACAAAAGGATGGGACATCCAAACAAAAGTTATTTATGGATGTTGAGAGATATGGTTACTGGACTAAATCTTAACAAGAATGATATTCCGGACTTCTGCCAAACATGTGTAGAAAGCAAGCACTCAAGAAAACCATTTCAATCAAGGTTTTTTCAGACTCGTCGTCCGCTGGAAATTGTGCACAGTGATGTGTGTGGACCAATATCACCGACTACTTGGAACGGTAAGAAATACTTTCTTTCATTCACTGATGATTATACCCGTTTTTCAATTATTTATTTATTAGAAAAAAAAAGTCAAGTGTTTCAATGCTTTCAAAATTATGAAGCAACTGTAAGTGCATTTTTTGATTTAAAAGTATCCATATTGAGATGTGACAATGGAGGGGAGTATGTAAGCAATGAGTTAAAACGTTTTTGTTCAGTTAAAGGAATTGTTGTTGACTATACTGTTCCTTACACACCTGAACAAAATGGTTTAGCAGAAAGATTGAATAGAACATTGGTAGAAAGAACAAGATCATTGCTGTTACAATCAAACTTGTCAAAAGAAATGTGGGGAGAAGCAGTACTCACGGCCGCTTATTTGGGAAACCGACTACCAACACATGCAAATATAAAGAAGACTCCTGTTGAGCTTTGGACTGGAAGTAAGCCTAACTTAAACAATATTAGAATCTTCGGATGCGTTGCTTTCGCACACATACCAGACCAATTGAGGCGTAAGTTAGACTCAAAGTCAAAAAGATGTATATTTGTTGGTTATACAAAAAATGGTTATAGGCTATGGGATCCATTAACAAAGACTGTGTTTGTCAGTCGAGATGTCATATTTAATGAAAAAGAATTGTTAAATCCTATAATTACTAATAATGAAAAGAAAATACTTGTTGAAATAAACAATTCAGAAATTGCTGAGGAATCAAAAGAAACCACTGAACAAGGATCTCAAGATGAAGAAAGAAAAACAGAAAATGATGTGGATAAAGTCATTGGAAATAATATACCAACACAAGAACAATTGAAAAGAAACAGGAAAACTCCAACGTGGCATAAGGATTATGAAATGTCAATGATGGCACTTTCTGCTGAATACTATGTTCAAGATTTACCAGAAACTGTTGAAGAAATCAAAACTCACCCAAATCATACTCAGTGGAAAGCAGCTATGGAAGAAGAAATGAGAGCTCTTAATGAGAATAATACATGGACTTTGGTTAAAAGACTGCCTAACAAAAGGGTTATGAACAACAAGTGGGTCTTTAAAGTTAAAACTGATGAACAAGGAAATGTTATACGATTTAAAGCAAGACTTGTTGTCAAAGGCTATTCTCAAAAGTTGGGTTTTGACTATATGGATACCTATGCACCTGTAGCCAACATAGTGACTGTTCGCACATTACTATCACTGGCACTACATAAAGACTTGCATATTATTCAAATGGATGTGACAACAGCGTTTCTGAATGGAATAGTTGAAGAAGAATTGTACATGAGACAACCTGAGGGTTTTGAGAAAGGGGAAAACTTAGTTTGTAAACTAAATAAATCATTGTATGGTTTAAAACAAGCTCCTTATTGTTGGAATAAAAGATTTAATGAATTTATTGAAGGGCAAGGATTAGTAAGAAGTAATTCTGATCGATGCTTATATATAAAAATTAATAGTAATGTATGTTTATTTTTACTATTGTATGTGGATGATGTTCTAATAGTGAGCAACTCTATGAAGTCAATGAATGACTTAAGAAGAACACTGAAAGAAGAATTTAAATTAACCGATCAAGGCGAAGCAAAATCATTTCTAGGTATTAAAATAGAACGTACTGAAGACTCTATGAAAATTAGTCAAACTCATTATTTGGAAAAGTTGCTGAAGAAATTTTCAATGGAAGACTGCAAGCCAATATCGACACCTATGGAAACCAAACTTAATACAGAAAATGGAGAGGCAACTAATAAACCTTATCGCGAGTTAATTGGCTGTCTAATGTATGTAATGATTCAAACAAGACCGGATTTAAGCGTTGCAGTGAACTTGTTTAGTCGATATCAGTCTCAACCGACAGACAGTTTATACATTCAACTCAAAAGAGTACTACGCTATGTGAAGGGTACTACTGATTTTGGTCTTATCTATAAAAAGGGTAAAGAAGTAAGTCCACTAAGGGGATTTGTTGATGCAGATTTCGCTAATGACATCAACGATAGGAAATCTACCTCTGGATACTTATTTCAAATATATGGATCCACAGTTTGCTGGTCTACAAGAAAGCAATCAACAGTAGCAATCTCCTCAACAGAGGCTGAATATCTAGCATTGGCATCAGCTATACAAGAAGCTATGTGGCTCAAAGGTTTACTTGTTGAAATGTGCGTTATAGGAGCAGATGAACAAATTGTTTTGTATGAAGACAATCAATCCTGCATCAAAATTGCTGAAGAGCCAAGAAAACATCAAAGACTTAAACATCTAGATACCAAGTACAATTTCATTAATGAATCAATTGCCAACAATGAAATAAAATTGGAGTATGTTCCATCAGAAAATCAGCTAGCTGACATTCTTACTAAACCACTGTCGGCTTCAACATTTATGAGACTGAAGAAACTTATTGGTGTCAATGAATACTAAGATTATTTTTTTTTATGGTTTATATTAAATTAGTCAATAGTCAAGTATAATATTGTTATTTGTTTTACATTATGTTTATTTATTATTATTATTTTACCTATGTTATATGTATACTTGAAATTTTTAATTAATGTTTGTAGTTACAAGATTAAGTGGAAGTGTTGTTAATTGTTATCACTTTTGTTATCACCTTTCTGTTGTAATCTTGTTGTGTACACTTAACCTAAATGTGTGAATACTATAACGTTTTTTTTTTTTGTTCTGTCATTATAAAACCTCGTTATGTCTTGAACTTAAAAGCGGAGCTGTTATTCTTTTTGTCCTTTTACATTAAACAACAATTTTGGTATGATAAATAAAATATATTTTTGTAATAATGAATTAATTATATTTCAATGTTTAAAACTAAATGCTACAATATTTGATGAACATTATCATTCATTAGAAGTAGAAGAGGAAATCAATGACAGTGTTTTTATTTATTATAATGACCTGGCGTCCTACATTCCAAATCATATTTGTACAATGCCTAATGGCAATAAATATATTACTGTTAGAGGTTAAATAATAATATCTTAGTGTACTTTAGATACTTTTTACTAATTTAATGTTATAACTTAAGGATAACTTCATACATTTTTATAAGCTCCTCATTCCATGTACCTATGTATAATTTGCAAGTAACATAAAGCACTGATTATACCTATGTTTTTATATTGTAATTTAATTAAAGTTAGGAACCTATACTAAAATATAAAATTGTAATGCACTTGACTGAATTAAACATTTATATTATATCATATATTTTTAGTATTTTATATACTTATATTTTATTACTTATTATTTTATGTATATTTTATTTTAAATAAACTTGCATTTTATTTTTTGTTTTAATTTATAATTGTACATTATTTTACTTATAAGA